AATACAACAAATATCTAATCAATATCTATCTGACTAAGAAATTACCTAACAACAATATTCTAATTTTCTGAGATACCGAATTTGGGGTTTTCATTGGTTGTCAGTTATAATCATCACAATTAAAAGAAATAAACATTTGAAATATATCAGTCTGTGTGTAATGAATGAATATAATATATAAGTTTCACTTTTTGAATGGAATTAATGAAATAAATCAACTTTTGGATGATATTCTAATTTTATGACCAGCACCTGTATATGGCATGGCACTAAGCGGACAGAGCAGTGTGCAGCTCAAAACTTTGTCCTTATGTAAGGTCTCAGTGTGTAACCTGACAACTTGCTGCCACTCTAAAAAGTAATCTGTAAAACGCTTATGAGCAAAAAAAAAGTTTGGCATTCCTCCTTAAATGGTCTTGATTTCAGTCCACATTTGCTAAGATGATCAAGTCTTCCATTTGCAGTCATGGTAAAAATGGAGATGTCACCAGGTCGTGGGGGACAAGGCCTGGTCAAATGAACTGAATCTGTTTTTTAACAGATTTGACTCTACCAAGTCCTTAGCCCCCACCGTGCCAGCCCCCCCATCTCACCTCTCCAGGTCAGTTGTCCCCTCGCAGCTGCAGCCAGACCTTGCCCCTCCTCCCACTGTCCCGGGGGGTTCCCAAAAGCCCACAGCTCCTGAACAGTCACTGCCCACCCATCCCCTCAGCCTCACGGTGGACCAGGTCAGGAGGGAGTTAAGGAGGATTAAAGCCAGGAAGGCCACAGGCCTGACCACATCAGCCCCAGGGTCCTCAGGGAGTGTGCAGACCAGCTCACTGAAGTGGTCCTGTACATGTTTAATCTGAGTCTTAGCCTGGAGCAAGTTCCGGTTCTGTGGAAGACATCCTGTGTGGTCCCAGTTCCTAAAGTAACTCATCCCAAGGAGCCAAACCACTACAGACCCGTTGCCCTGACCTCCCACCTGATGAAGACCATGAAGAGGATTGTCCTCGGCCACCTCCATGCCCAAGTGAGCTCAGCGCTGGACCCGTTGCAGTTTGCATATCGACCTGGCATCGGGGTAGATGACGATATTATCTACATGCTACATCGAGCCTTATCTCACCTGGAGTCCCCTGGAAGTCTTGTGAGGGTCATGTTCTTTGACTTCTCCAGTGCTTTCAACACAGTCCAGCCGTCACTGCTGAGGGGGAAGTTGGCAGGTGTGGACCAACACCTGTCCGCATGGACCATTAACTACCTCACAAACAGACCTCAGTTCATAAGGCTGTGGGACTGTGTGTCGGATGTGGTAGTCTGCAGCACGGGGCACCCCAGGGAATGGTGCTTTCCCCCTTTCTGTTCACCCTCTACACGTCGGACTTGGTGAGCTTGCAGGGCTCAGTCATTGAGATTGTGGACACCTTTAAATACCTGGGTACCTCAACAATAAACTGGATTGGACCAACAACAATGCCCTGTACAGAAAGGGCCAGAGCCGCCTCCACTTGTTGAGGAGACTGAGGTCCTTTGGTGTGCGCGGGGCACTCCTTCGGACATTTTATGATTCTGTGGTGGCATCTGCAGTTTTTTATGCTGTTGTGGG